TCTTTTGGGTAACAGTGACCCTTACTGGTGTGAGATGATATCTCATTGTGGTTTTAATTTGCATTTCTCTGATGATTAGCAATGTGGAGCATCTTTTCAGGTGTCTGTTGGCCGTCTGAATTTCTTCTTTAGAGAAGTGTCTGTTCAGATCCTGTGCCCATTTTTTAATTGGATTATTTGCTTTTTGTTTGTTGAGGTGTGTGAGCTCTTTATATATTTTGGATGTAAACCCTTTATCAGATCTGTCATTTATGAATATATTCTCCCATACTGTAGGAAGCCTTTTTGCTCTATTGATGGTGTCCTTTGCTGTACAGAGCTTTTCAGCTTGATATAGTCTTGCTTGTTCATTTTTACTTTTGTTTCCCTTGCTGTACAGAGCTTTTCAGCTTGATATAGTCCTGCTTGTTCATTTTTACTTTTGTTTCCCTTGCCCAGGAAGATATGTTCATGAAGAAGTTACTCATGCTTATGTCCAAGAGATTTTTGCCTATGTTTTTTTCTAAGAGTTTTATGGTTTCATGACTTACATTCAGGTGTTTGATCCATTTCTAATTTACTTTTGTGTATGGGGTAAAACAATGACCCAGTTTCATTCTCTTCCATGTTGCTGTCCAGTTTTGCCAATACCAGCTGTTGAAGAGGCTGTCATTTCCCCATTGTATATCCATGGCTCCTTTATTGTATATTAACTGACCACATATGCTTGGGTTAATATTTGTAGTCTCTATTCTGTTCCACTTGTCTGTGGGTCTGTTCTTGTGCCATTACCCAATTGTCTTGATTACTGTGGCTTTGTAGTACAGCTTGAAGTTGAGAAGCGAGATGCCCCCTGCTTTATTCTTCCTTCTCAGGATTGCTTTGGCTATTTGGGGTCTTTGGTGATTCCATATGAATTTTAGAACTATTTCTTCCAGTTCATTGAAGAATGTTGTTGGTATTTTGATAGGCATTGCACTGAATCTGCAGACTGCTTTAGGCAGGGTGGCTATTTTGACAATACTAATTCTTCCTAACCAAGAGCATGGGATGAATTTCCCTTTGTTAGTGTCCTCTTTAATTTATCTTAATAGTGTCTTGTAGTTTTCAGGGTATAAGTCTTTCACTTCCTGGATTAGGTTTATTCCTAGGTATTTTATTCTTTCTGATGCAATCGTGAATGGAATTGTTTTCCTGATTTCTGTTTCTGCTAGTTCATCATTAGTGTATAGGAAAGCAACTGATTTCTGTTTATTAATTTTGTATCCTGCAAGTTTGCTGAATTCACATATTAGTTCTAGTAGTTTTGGAGTGAAGTCTTTAGGGTTTTTTATGTACAGTATCATGTCATCATGTCATCCGCAAATAGTGACAGTTTGACTTCTTCCTTACCAATCCGGATGCCTTTTATTTCTTTCTTTTGTCTGATTGCCATGGCTAGGACCTTCAGAACTACGTTGAATAAAAGTGGGGAGTGAGGGCATCCCTGTCTTGTTCCCAATCTTAGGTGAAAAACTTTCAGCTTCTCATTGTTAAGTATGATGTTGGCTGTGGGTTTGTCATATATGGCCTTTATTATGTTGAGGTACTTGCACTCAAAACTATTAAACTTTTAGAAGACAACGTAAGCAAAAATCTCTTGAACATAAGCGTGAGCAATTGTTTCTGGACACCTGTCCACAGGCAAGGGAAACAAAATGAAAAATGAAAAAGTGGGACTACATTAAACTAAAATCTTCTGTACAGCAAAGAACACCATGAACAGAACAAAAAGACACCCTACACTGTGGGAGAATATATTTGTAAATGATTTATCCAATAAGGGATTAAAATCCAAAATATATAAAGAACTCATAAGAATCAACACCAGAAAATGAGTAGGCTAATTTAAAAATGGACAGAGGACCTAAAATGACATTTTTCCAAAGAAATACAGGTGACCAACATGCAAATGAAAAGATGCTCCACATCACTAATTACCAGGGAGATGCAAATCAGAACTACAATGATATATTACCTCACACCAGTTAGAACGGCCACTATCAGAAAGAGAAGAAATAAAAAGTTGGTGAAGATGTGGAGAAAAGGGAAGCCTCCTACAGTGTTGGTACAACAACATGGATGCATCTAGAGGGTATTATGCTGAGTGACATAAGCCAGGTGGAGACAGACAGATACCATATGATTTCACTTATATGTGGAATCTAAAAACAAAACAGACTCATAGACACCCAGAAGTGACTCATGGTTACCATGGGAGAGGGGTTGGAGTAGGTGGGTGGGTGGGGCAGATAAAGGGCCAAAAAGTTTCTCAATCATAATATAAGTTGGTCCCAGGGATAGAAGTTCAGCATAGAGACTATACCCCCAATGGTTCTGTAATGTTGACACATATAACTGTGTTAGTTGGGTAAGGATTTAATAATATGGGTAACTGTTGAACCAGTTTATTATAAACTGAAACCAATATAGCATTGTATATCAACTATAATTCACTAAAAAAGGAAAGAGAGGAATTTAAAAAAAAGAAAAACTATGCCAAGCCCTGATCCAGAGCCACCAATAAAGTGAACTCCTTCTTCTACAGAACAGTGTTTTAAAATATTTTTGAAGGGAGGTGTATTTTCTTTTGAAAGATATTGATATGATGTGGAACACTAAGAAATTGAAAGCAGAGTCCCCTGTCTCTCCACATTAGCAGTCCTGTGGGAACTCATTCCTGATAGTCAGTGTCCTTGAAATGTGATACCCAAATTTGAACACAGCATTAGCCAAGGCAAGTCCCAGACAACACTAACACATCCATCCAACCATGATCAGGCCCAGACCTCTTGGCATACAAGAAGCTGCTAAGCAGTAATGGTCTGAGCTTTAAACCCAGCACAGGAGTATCTACAGATCTACAGCTGTCAGACGCTTCCTTACCCCAAAGGAATAATACCTGGCTCCCTGCCACACGTCGGTAAGACAACCCCGGTGGGTAGAAGAAGGTGACTGTGGTTCCATAGGAGTCCTCACCATCATTACGCACTGTCACATTCATGTCCAGCTCCAGATTACTCCCCACCACTAGGGTCTTCAAGCTAGGAGTTGGATTAGAGGATAGGAGATGATTCTGTGACCAGGGCTAGCAATGGTCTGGGAATGAAGCACAGAGAGGGGTGGTCGGGCAGAGATGGGGGACAGGATGTCTGGCTTCTGAGAACAGGATGGAAATGTTAGGGAGAGCCAGAGAACAACCTCCAGGTTCCAGGAGGAGGCAGGGAGAGCAGAGCAGGTCTACGGAGGTGGTAGCTCACCCTGAGACACCGAAGGAGATGGCGAGGTCGTCCTGGCAGACATGGTCCATCCCGCAGTTCTTCTCAAAGGGAAGCTGAAAGGAAAGGCAAAACAGGGTTTCCCCAAGATAGGGAGTCCTTACCCTCCATCCCTTCTGGAAGACACCGACTCCAGGACTCACAGAGGCCGTGAAGTATCTCTGAGCATCCACAGCCAGCATAGGCCGGAGGTTTCTGGAGGAAGGAATAGGCATGCCCACCAGGGAGAAGTTGAGACGCAAGGTGATGGGAGTCACTGAGTCCTCCACACAGGCCTAGAGGACAGACATTGAAGAGAACAGGTGACTAAGGAATGTACCTCCATAGCCACTAGCTTTGTCCCTTCTCCTCATCTGTAAAATGGGGTAATACCGATGCCTAGCTGTGCTGGATACATGCTCATTGCTACGATTCTGCCACGCAGAGCCTCTGCTTTGTCTGTCTTCTGCCTTGAACTCCCTCTCCCCAGCCTCCCACACTGCTCATTCACCCTATTTAGGGCCTGTATCAGAGGAGTGGCTCCTAAAAGAAGACCTCTCACCCCTTAGCTCTGAAACAGCCATACTCTCCTTCCTGAAATCCAGTTGTGCAGTCTCTGGCAATTGTAGCCAATCCACGCGTTCATTTATTCACTCACTCACTCATCTGGCTAACAAATGTAAAACACTACCTACATGCTAGGTGCTGTGCTAAGGCAAACACTAGAGCACACCCCACTTCTTCCTTGCCCAGCCTCAGAATGGCTCCATCCCTAGGACTCTGAGGCCCCTTTACCTGGAAGAGCAACTTCACGGTCTCACAGTACTGTCTCAGCCCAAGGATTCGGACACGAGTCAGATTCCGGGTCTTTGTCTCCTCAAAGGTGGCACGGGGACTCAGGCGGCCAGGGTCAAGGGTCAGGTCAAAGGTCACAGAGCTTTGGAGGTCACCTGTAGGGGAATGTAGGGGATGGGGAGGGCTAAGAGAGTCAGGAACTCCTCAGGTAGGCAAGGGGCAAGGCATGAGACAGAAGTCCTGGGCTGAGGAACTCTAGGGGTCAGGGTATGTTAGGTCAGAGAGGAAGGGACTCACCCAGCTTGTTCTTGGGACTTTCATAAATGTGAAGGCAGACATTGGCATCACCCAGTGTCCGGACAGAGGGTTTCTGCTCTTGACACTCAAACACAGACCTGGCAATTTCTGCAGGTATGATGCGGATGTTCATCCACACCCTGAGCACAGGTCTCGTCCTGTAGGCAAAACACTGAGTTGAGGACAAGCCCTTAGTTCTAAGGGGACAACCTGGGATGGGGGAGGAAGGGAAGTGTCCCAGGCAGACTTAAGACTACCTGGAGAGTGTCTGAGGAAGACTGTTCTCACCTGAGTAGAAGCATGTGCCCCTGGGCCCCTACAGCCAGGTCCACCAGTCCATCCATTGTGAGGTCCTGACCCCCACTCAGTGACTGCCCAAAATACTGGAGCTTGGAAGAGAGCTGGGAACCTGCAATCCTCTGGCCAGAGAGGGAAGGGCAGGTTAGGTTGGGGGGTAAGGGAAACAAGTTGGAAATCAGCAACAAGAGGAACAGAGAGGTAGGAATGTGGGACACAGTAAGAGTCAGTAGTGGAAAATCTCTTGCCAAAATGTCCCTAAAATGAGGAGGTAGAGTGGGGAAATTTTGACTAGAGAAAGGAAAGATTCCTAAGATAAAAGTGAAATGGAGATTAAAGGACTGGCATGGTGACCTGTCATTCATTCATCTAATTAGCCTCAGATTCCAATTCTGGCTCCTCTGCCTGTAACTCATAAGGTCTTGGGCCAGGATTCACTCTTACTGTACTTCAATTTCCTCATCTTTCACATGGGGCCCAGTGGATAGCTACCAGTCAATCACTGATTCTGATGAGCATTAGGGCAGGTAGGGATTTCAGAGCACATGCAGCCCCACCTCCCACTGTGCCAGAACCACTTAACCTTTAAGTACTGAAATCAGATCCTCTGACCCCACGCCCAAGGCCTTGTGTTTTTTCCCTGTGGCCACCCTGTCTCTTCAGAGAGCAAGGAAAGACCACATGGGGATGAGAAGTGACTGTATCCACACAGATTCTGTGCTCCAGCCCTTACCTCCTTTCTCTTTTTTTTCCATTGCTTCTATAATGACCAATCCCTTGGAGAACATCCCCTTTAAATCTCTGGGCACTGCTGAGACTGGTAGACATTAAGAGATGGAATAATAAATTGAAAGGGTAATTTACCAATTACTAAGGAAGTCTAGGAAGGAAGAGGTGGGTAGAGATAGTACAAGCACAGTCAAGGGGCCCCACACCCAGGGAAACTGATGCCACCATATCCTCAAGTTGCTGTGTGGGCCCATGGGGAAGGAGGCAAGCCCTTCTCAGGCAAGTATGTGGCTAGGACACATCATAGAGAGAGGAAGGACAATCATGATGGGCCACTGCATCTGGAAAGGTCCCCTCTTGGAGTCAAGCCTTAGAGGTATTATCTCAAGTGATGCTTGCAGTTCAGGGTCTACACAGACAGGCCTCTAAGCTGCTGCAGCAAGGGGAGTTAAGTTTGTGCACTGAATACAGTTTCATGACAAGTAGGCTCTTGTTATTCTCAACAAAGCTTTTCACACTCTTCTTAAAGTTTTGAGTTCTTTAGAACTCCTTCAGTTGTTAAACTGTATTAACAATAATCGATTATGATAATATAACACCTGTTATGTGCCAGGCACAAATGTGTATGTGTATTCTATACATACTCTAGATGTGCTAACTCATTTAATCCTCACAGCAGCAGCTCGATGACATTGACTCTATTATTATCACCATTTTACAGATGGAAAAAAACAAGCACAGATAAGTGACTAATGACCAAGATGACATACCTGAGAAGTGACAGAACTACAGGGATCTTTTTTGACATTGTTTTCCTAACAACTTTTGAGACACACTTCACATACTATACAATATATCCTTTTAAAGTGTACAACTCAATGACTTTTAGGCTGTTCATGGAATTATGCAGCCATCATCAAATCAATTTTAGAACATTTCCAACACCCCAAAAAGAAACTCCCTACCCCATAGTAGTCACCCCATGTTCATTTTCCTGCACCTCCTAGCCCTTGATAACCACTAATCTACTTTCTGTGTCTATGGATTTATTATTCTGGACATTTCATATAAATAGAATCATACAATATGTGGTTTTTCTTGACTGGTTTTCTTTCACCTGTTTTCATTGTTCATCCTTGTTGTAGCTTGTGTTTGTACATCATTCTTTTCATGGCCAAATAATATCCCACTGTATAGGTATGCCACATTTTACTCATCTATTCATCAACTGGTGGAGATTTGGATTGTTTCCACCTTTTGGTTATTATGAATGTCACTATGAACACTCACTTATAACTTTCTGTGTGGACATATGTTTTCAATTCTCTTGGATAGAACTGCTGGATTCCACAATAACTCAATGTTTAACCTTTTGAGTAACTGCCAGACTGCACCAAAGTAGCTTTACCATTTTTCCTTCCCACCAGTAATGTTTAAAGGTTCTCAGTTCTTCATACCCTCATTAACATTTGTTATTATCTATTTTATTCTAGCCATCCTAGCAGTTGTGAAGTGGTATCTCCTTGTGGTCTTGAATTGCTGATGACTAATGATGTTGAACACCTCCTCATGGGCATATTGGTCCTTTGTATATCATCTTTGGAGAAATGTCTATTCAGGTCCTTTGCACATTTTTTAATTGGAGTGTTCCTTGACTTTGCCAGGGGAGTAGCCCTCCCTTCTCAAGTAGCACTGTCTTAGTGGGTGGAGGGCTCCTGCCTAGATGGGCATTTGGCAGGAGTACTGATGGTGGGAGAGAATAAAGTCATGTAGCAACCAGGAACACAAAGGGGTATGTGGACAGGCAGACTGAGGCAGCCAGGCCTAAACTGATTGGCAACAGGAGCCGCCAAGAGATACTGAGCACTGAGTTAGAAGTCAGGAGATGGAACCTCCCTCATCACCATTCCTGATTCACTCTAAACTTTGGACAAGTCAAGTTACTTACGTTCTCCATGCCCCTGATTTCATCTCTAAAATGGACTTGCTAGTGCCTGGCCTAAGTACCTTGTAAAGCTGCTGGGGAGTTAAAGGCCCTGGGTGGGAAACCAACTCAAAAGCTCCTGTACAAAGATGGGAACATATCAGTTAATGTTTCTGTTTCTCAAATTCCACAGGTTTTGTTTGCTGCTTACAAAGGGCCCAGTGCTGGGCAGAGGTAAGATAAAGTAAAAAAGAACTTTCCACGTGGCAGTGTGAGAGACAGGGAGAAGCAAGGAGGAGACTGTTGTAATAACAAGATCTGTGACCTGGCCTCACCTGGCTGTGGGAGGGGCTGATGCCCAATTCTGTGGTTCCATGAAATATGTAGACAGCACCCCTGTTCTCCTGCTCTCCCGGGGCTCCGATGGCCACGTCCGTCAGCTTGTCCCCATTCACATCCCCCAGCACTGTCAGGGCTGCCCCAAAGCGGCCCCAGGGCTGGCCCTGCACCCCATGGAGAACAGCCTCACACTGCCACCTAGCCCTCTGCAGAACAAAACCAGTGTCAGGCCCTAACCTGGCCAACCCCCACCCCACACCCAACCCCCACCCAATACCCAGTCCAGGCCCCATCAGCCACTCACCCCCTGGGGCAAGGGGCACACAGACACCTCACCCCCTTGGGTCGGCTGGTAGTAATGAGGAGCCCCGATGAGGACCAGGTCAGAGCTGCCATCTCCATCCACGTCCACAGAGCAGAGGGAGGCCCCGAAGTAGGAGCCAACCTGAAGGCAGAGCCTGAAGCCATCCTGCCTGCCCCTTCTGAGCCAGGGCCTGCCTCTCTCCACCACTCAGACCTCTCCACATGGGCCCCAAATCCCCCTCTTCTCCTCCCTGTCCACCCCTGGAGCCCCTGCCACCCTCACGTTCCACACTGGCTTCCTCCACACCCAACCTGGGTCCCTGTAACTTCAGCCTTCGGCCTCCATTGCCCGGACACCTGGGTGAAGATGACAACCTTCCCGGTGTGCTGGTGGCGGGGGGCACCTAGGACCAGGCTCTGCACACCCTTCCAAAGGACCAACTCTGTGGAGTAACCTGAGGGGGCCGGGCCTCAGCACAAAGGCTCCCCTCCCAGTCCCAGGGTCCCTGCCCTTCCCAGGCAGCCCACCTCCCACCTGTCCTCCTAGCCACAGTCTTTTCTCACCCAGATAAGAGTCCCTCATGTCCACATTTTCCTGAGACATGTTGATGAAGGTAGGCCTCATATTTGGGGGGTACAAGAAGGCACCTCCAGACCAGCTAAAGCTCCCCACAGCCCCCAGAACTGGTCCATCCTAGGGGGAAAGGATTCCAGGGCTCAGCACACTGGGGCAAGAAGACAGGCTATTCCACAGCAACGCCACCAACTCCACTTACCCATCTGACACCCACCCTTACCTTCCCTCCTCCCTCCTCTCCCTCATCCTACATTAGTGTCCTGAAAGGGGCTCCACTCACAGGCGTGATCAAAGCGCTAAAGCCCTCCTGGGACATCTCCAGTTCAAAGGAACTACTGCTTATTGTCCGTGTACCTGGGGGAAGGCAGGACACCTGGTTTCCAGGGGGAAAGACAGGCTTTTCCTGGTCCAAGAAGGACACCTCAGCATTAAAAGGATCTAATATTGGAGACTAATACCCAAATGGAGGGTTTGGTGCCCGTGATGTTGGAGACCAGGTTCAAGACAGAAAAGCATTTATGGGTATGGGTTTCTGGAGCACGTAGTTCCATCTCTGACTTACCCTCAATGGCAAAGATCTTCTCTTTCAATTGGTTTTGAATGTCTCTCAAAGCATCAAAATTCTCCACTTTAAATATATGTTCATGGGAGGGCTTCGATGCAATATCATTTAATTCTTTCCAGGAACGAGTATTTTGAAAAGCCAATCCCACCTGTCCCCAACAAAGACCAACTCAGTGAAAATAATCATAAATCTATTATGCCTTCCATGTGTTGGATGCTGATAGCCTCCAAGGTCAGTATTTTATAATAATTATAATATTCTATAATATACATATGCAATTATATTATGTATATAATATACCATATACAATATAATAATCATAATACTACTGACCCTACAAGTCAGTGTTACTGCACCCAGTGTACAGGGGAGGAAAATGAGGCTCAGACAACACCAAGGAGTTTAGTGAGAAGGATCAGTTCCCCCAGGCTGAAACAGAGTTTTCATCCTGAATGCAGTAAAAAGCTGACAGAGCTGTGGTTTCTGTCCTTGAAAGGGAAGTTCCCTTAAGAGGAAGCAAAGGGAGGGCATCCCCATATCGTACCCCGACTGCATAGCGGATGATCCCTGCTGCCTCGGCCTCAGGAATGACCTCCTCATATTTGAGGTGGTCACCTTGTTTCTGCCCGTCAGTGATGATGATGAGGATCTTGGAGATATCCTTCCGGGCCCCACTGGGAGCAGTGAACAGTTGGTTTCTGTCAGGGAAGAGGAGGGTCCAGAGGCCTGGGAACAGAACTGAGCTAGCCCCTGATGCCTTTGTGAAAAAGGCCACCCAGAGGCCCCCAACTTGGTGAGGAGACTGCAGGCTGCATTTCAGTCCCCACCTGTCCCATTGTCATGGGAACAAATGAAGTCCAGAGGAAAACCAGATGCTTTGGGGAAGGGCCTGGGAGAAGTCAGGACTCACATGACCCTTCGGATGGCTGTGGCTGTGTGAGTGTACCCTCTCAGCTGAAGTACAGAATCCAATAGGCCTAGAGGGTCAGAGCTGCGCATGAAGTCTTTGAAAGTGAAGTGCACCCGGAATTTATCGGAGAACTGCATCAGGGAGAACTGAGAGAAGCAGGGTGGAGGGTGCAGTGCTGTGGCCAGGCTGCTTCGCTAGAAGTGCCCACGCACGTGCACAGCTGCCCCAGGGGGCCCCGCACACTCACCTCCCCCCTGCCTGAGGGCATACCTGCGTGCTGGGCCTCTGGAACTGGCTCATCACAGCCTTCACGAAATTCAACATCTTGGCAAAATCAGTGAAGGAGATGCTGCCTGATCCATCAATGAGGAACGCAATGTCCTGCTCCTGCCTCGGGCACTCTGGGAAAGGAGATGACAGGCTTCTGGGCACAAGAACTCAGCCACCCCCCAGGGGCTTCCCTGCCTGAAGCAAGGCCCTTCAATCTCCTAAAGTCTCTAACGAGGCTACATCTGTGATTCAGCTGCTCACATCTGCTCTGCCAGCCTGGCTGATAAAAAAGTGAAAATCCCTCCAATCCAGATGGTAAGAAGCTGGGGTCCCTTGTTCTACCCTCCACTGCGCCCCTCCCACTAACCATTACCCCATCTCTTCCCCCAACATCCCTCTAATCCAGCAAAGAAAGGATCCTGCTCCAACCCCTGGCCAGGGTCAGTCAGTGCCAAACTGTAATTTTGTTAAGTATTTCACCACTGGCAACAGCCACGCAATAGGCCTTATTCTGTTGGCTTAAATACAGTTCCCCAGTCCCTCCTGAGTGAATGCAGAATCTGTCTTCAGGAGAGGAAGCTCTCCTAGCTCTCCGAGATGAGACACCATGCTATTCCTATCTCTCAGCTTCCACTTTCTGCCCCAGAGAACTGCCACCAGAGGGAGTGGATATCCTAGGCATTCTGATAGAAACTGGGAGGTGCTGGAAGGGCACCTTATTCAGTGTCAGTCTCCTCAAGGGCTTGAGTGTGAATGTGAAACCAGGAGGAGGCCTCAGCCTGCTGGGGGCTGGGTCTGAAAAGCTCACTGTTCTTCCTCATCTCCCATCCCCATCAGCACCAGGGAAGCAAGGCCCTGTGCTTCAAGGTGCACACACACATAGCATACACACACATACATACACATGCATATACATATACACAAACATACACACACAGGCATGCACACTGCTCAAACTGTCTGCACCCCTATCACCCTTTCTCAGCCTGCTGCACAAATCAATTGGTTATACCCCAGGATACATTTGGTGAACATAAATTACCTTCTTTCTACAAAAATTGCAGCTGGCATTAACTGAGCCCTCACCATGTGCCAGGCGCTAGGCTAAACCCTGTGTTACTGTAAGTGTTGGGTGTGTCATTATCCCCACCTGACAAAGAAACTGAAGCTCAGAGAGGGTAAGATCCTGCAGTAGGATGGTGAAGGGGCAGGGTATGAAAGCAGGCAGTGACTCCCCAGCCCATGTTTGGAACCACTATACCATCCAGTACATTTTTTTTCCAGATACCTTTTTTTTATCCACTTCTGACAACAGTGTCTATGGCCCTACTGGACTCCCAATAAGATGTGGGTGGGTTCCTTCAAGGACCCAGTAGCCCCAAGCACTCACCCTGCAGGGCAGCTGGGAGCCTCTGGGCCTGCTGTAAGTGGGAGGCCAGCAGGAAACAAAACCCAGTCAAGTACATGTTCTCCCTGCATGCATGGTGCACAGTGGGGCCGCAGGCCTAGGGAAAGAGGAACCTTGTGGAAGGGACTACTCCTTCTTCTGTTCCACCTTCTTATCCCAGGATGTCCACTCTCCACAAGACCCCAGCAGCCCCAGGTCCCCACTCCTTCCCTCAGGACACTGCTGTGACCCAGGGCAACTCACAAGCAGCTGAGAAGTGTTAGTGGAGACTGCCAGGGACAGGCCCAGGGACATGTTCACAGCCTCTGGGGGAACTGAGGAGTAGATATGAGAATGGTTACCCTCAGGACAGGAGGCTGTATGAGGTCTACACAGGGGTCCCTCAACCTTGGAAAACAAGGACGCATAAAGGGGGCTTTCAGGTCTTGATGGAGCTGTTGGGGTGCAGGTGTGTGACAGGCAGGGATGACTTGAGGGGCTCAGAAGCCTGTCTGAGGGTGACAGTCTGCAGACAGAGCCAAAGCTAGGAAGTGGGTCTCCTGTACCCCACCAGGGCCCCAGAGCATGGAAAGCTGGCCCTGGGTCCCAGGGCGGGACAGTGACTTACCCTGCAGGTGGATGGGCTCACACATGGCTGTGCTGTAGTCACACTGGTAGAGGCCGCCTGTTTGGTTGACAGCCTTTATCTCCTGGGGGGCTCCAACAACCACCCTGCAGGGGTCAAAGAATACTTCAGTTAAGATTGTGGACATGGAGCCATACTGCCACTTGGCAATTTTGCTTCACCTCCCTGTGCCTCAGTTTCCTCATCTGGAAGGTGGAGATTAGTAATTTAAATTCCACACAGGAGGGATTTTTGTCCATTTATTCTCTGGTGTATGCCTGGCTCCTGAGACATATAGTAGTAGGAACTCAATAAATACTTGCTGGGTTGTTGTTTTCTATGTCATAAGGTCCTTGTGAGGACTAAATCAGTGCTCACATACAGGGTGCTCAGTGCTTGGCAAGTGCTTGATAAATGTTAGCTGTGATTATCGAGATGGCAAGGTAGTACCTGCTTTCAGTCCAACTTATAGCCTTGGAAGAATTGCCACACTAGACAGACAGGAGGGTTTCTGAATGAAGGGAGGGGTCGAGGGAGGGACAGGACCCTGCACAGGAGAGGAGCTCTTGAAAGCCGAAGGCCAGCCAGCACCAGGCCCTTACCAGGAGCTGGCATACTGAACGACACTGGATCCAAACCCAGCACTGTCTATGAAGAAGGTTGTTGGCTGGTCAGTGTCCAAGTTGAAGCAGAGGGAGGAAGCCAAGGCTGGGGAGGAGGGTGAGAAGAGAAACTTTGGAAAAGGGTCTTCCTCCTGCTCCATCTCCCCAGCCCCAGTCTCTACTCTCTCCTCTAGGCCCAATGCCCCAGTGGCTCCTGGTATTCCAGACCCCCAGGCTCAGGCCTCCCTCAGCCCTCTTCCCTCCTTCAGGTGGTCCAAAGACAGCTCTTCACCCACTGATCTGCTGGCAAGTTTCAGTTCTCCATTTCTGCAAAGCAACACCCAAGCTCTAAATAACCTCCTTCCCCACCTCTAGGGAGAATCCAGGAAAACTTGGGGTCAAGGGGACCCCATGCAGAGAGCACAAGATGACTTGTTCTACCTACTTGAGAAATTTAGGGATTGTCCAGGCAACTGGCCTCTCTTCCAGCATCTCTTGAACTCCCCTAAAATTGGGTCCCCAATATCCTCTCCCACAAAATCCAGATCCCAAACCCTATGTAACTCTAGATCCTTCCCCTAACATCTGAGTCCAAAACATATGCATTCTCAGCTCTCTCCCTACCTGGAACCCAAAACCCTCATCCCTCTTCACTGGTGCCCCTGACTTACCCATCAACAGGAGGAAGGATGTCCTAGTCTCAGTCATGACTGGAAGGTCAGACGTGGGCCTCCAAGCTCCTGAGCTACCGGGGGAACAGCTGGACCAAGGTGCTGAGGGAGCAAGTAAACTGAGCGGTGGTCAGGAGGCTGGAGGCAAGGAGGGAAGTTGTCAGCATGACTCAGAGGTAGAGGGCGGAGAATACAACTAAAATAAGCAGAGAAAGGGGGCTGAGGTGGCCCACACACTCCAGGCCCAGAAATGACTTAGCTTTCTTCTCTTGACTCACCAATGTAGGCTTGGGTGAATGCAAATCCCCTGCCCTCCCAGTTTACCTACTTGTACTGGCAAAAGGTTCCCCTTGACCTTGAAACTTCAGTTAGCCTGGAGAAGGGGAAGGAGCCAGGGTGGGGCCAGGGTTCTATAGGAGACCTTGATGGGAACCCTCCACTTCAGATCTGGAAACTTCTGGGCCAGAAGTCATGCATCTGGGCCTTAAGAGGAGTACAGAGTAGATGTTTACTCACATATGCCTCATTTATTCAACAAGTCTAATTTGAGGCTAATCGTGCACACCTTCTGTTAGCAGAGGAAGAAAATGCAAACCACAAGGCCCCAGCCCTGGGGTCAGTGGAGAAAGAAAATGTGTAAACAGCAAGATGTTGCTATAAGAGGGGAAGCACATTGACCACAGGCTGGAAGGGTGTGGATTTCCGGGAAGGCTTCCTGAAGGAGGTAGCACTTGAGCTGAGTCTTGGAGGCCAACTGATTATAGGTGAGCATATTTCAAAAGGGGTGACCAAAAGGGCATGATATAGGTGGGCCTCTGGGGAAGTCAGTGATGGGAACCTGAAAGTGGAAGGTGGGAAGTAGCAAGAGATGAGGTCAGTGCCATGGGGGAGAAGAGAAAGAAGAAGCAGCCCCCAGGGTTAGAAAGCCCTCACAAGGCATGCTGATTTTATCCTGAGGGCAGAGGGAAAAACTGAAGCAAATTGCAAAGGCTAAGATCTCCAAATTTACATTTTGGAAAGCTAGAAAGAAGGGCAGTATGGGTCATGATTTCCTTGAAAACTAACTGGAGACAAATCGGTTGGGAAGAAGAATGGGGCCTGTGAGGTGAGCTAGTGGCCATGGCGATGGACTGAAGACTGCCTGGTCACCAAGGGAAGGACAGTGGTGAAGGTCCCTGAGCTAGAGAGTCCTAGAGGAGAGGTGGGGTGATGGGCTAGGCCAACTTTGGTTTTGGGAAAACCAAAATGTAGTATTTAAAAGCTTGGGTTCTTTCAACCTCTCTAGGCCTCAGTTTCCTCATCTGCAAAATTGGGGTGATAATAAAAGTACACACATCCTATGGTTGCCAGGAAGGTTGGGTTAATCAATGTGAACTGCTTAGAAGAATAAGAGCTTCTATTATTGGCTATACTATTGGCATTACTATACTATGATGATTATTGTGTCAGGTCTGGGGAGCCTGAGGGCCTTCCAAGAGGGGATGTCCTGGAGGCAGTTGGATGTGTGGGAGAAAAGTCTGGGTTGGAGATGAGTTTTGGAACCATCAGGAAAAGTGCTAGATGAGATCCTGGTGAGAGTGTAAGGAGGGAGAGAAAGACAGGTCCTGGGTGGGTCCCAAGGAAATGCCAGTGTTGGCGTCAGAGCAGAAGCCCATGAAGATTGAGAAGGAATGAGTCCTCAAAAAGGGAGAATGAAGCCCAGGAGAGAGAAGGGCATCATGGAAGGGCAGTCTGGAGAGAAGAGGTGTAACAGTGTCACAGGCTGCCAGACATCAAGTGAGTTAAGAAACAAGAAAGCCCCTGTATCTGGCAGCCAAGTCTGTGGGTAACCCTTGAGTGGGTGAACCAGGGTAGTAAGAGGAACCAGTGGTGAGGAACATGGGCAGCAGTATCAGGCAAGCAGCCCTGAAGGGACCTCAGACACAATATGGCTGGAGACAGGCTCTCAAATCCTTGGAGATGAAGAAAATTTAGGGGGATGTGGCATAGGGGGTGGTTAAATTCCAAGAAGGAAATGGTGACAGAAAAACCCAATAAAGAGAATGGAGAAGTGGTCTAGATTCTAGACTGGATAAAAGACCAACCAGAAATGGCTCACCAGAAGTCTGGGAGTATCAGGGCTGGTCTTACACAGAGGTCCCCAGCCTTAGAAGGTGCTTTGAATCCTGGCCTTTCTGTTGCACCTTTTCCTCGAGCTTGGGTCCCACCCTTGGTGGGTGAGGGTGGACAAGGCAAAAATACTGGATGAGTAAGAGTCCATGTTGTTTTCTCTCAAGCTGCTCAACATACTTCCATGATACTTCAGAGAAAAGCCCAGATAAAGCACCTCACCTTTGACAAAGATAACTGGATCATGACGGTATAGAACAGGATGTGTCCTTAATTCAATCCACCCATTTTACATATGAGGGTGGGGAGGCTCCAGCTAGCACCTAAGGGTGTCTTAAACTCACAGCCCCACTTCAGTGAGTCATGACTGTGACATTTCCAGAAAAAGGATGACAGCTAAGGGGGATGATATAAGCAAGGAAGGAGTGGACACCAAAGTTACTCATCTCCTTAGCTCCATGGGAGAATGAGTCAGTCACAGTTAGCCTTGTGTATATGATACCTCTAGGATATTCAGAGCCCAGGCTGAGCCCATGGCAAGAGGTCAGGGCACAGGGATGGTCTGGGGAAGCTTAGAGGGCAGCCAGTCTACGTGCTGCTGGCATTTCTGCTCTGTCCCCAAGCCTAAAGGTGCTGACTGAAGAAACTCCAGCAGGGTGGTAGGGAACAAGGGACTGCATCTACCACATATTGGGGCAAGACTGAGGCATGAATAAACCAAGACAGAGGTGCTTTATTTCAGGTCTGATATAAGTAAGATAAGTGAAACTGGATAATTTTGGATCTGTCTTCTAGGTTGTATCTTTTCCATGGGAAGAAGAGAACAGAAATCTGGTAAGCAGAAACCCTCAGGTTTCTCAGTTCATTTACACCCCATATGCCCAACCACAAGGAATGGGTCTTTTTGTACAGAAAAATCCAGTAGTTCCCATTTCAGTCACTGTCTAACTTAGGTGCCTGGAAAATAGCACTTGCTGCTGGTTGTTAGCTGAGGACAAGGTGGAGAATTAACAATCAGTCTTCCTTAGTGAGGAATAAAAGATGACACCCTCTCTATCAGAGTTCTTTGAGAGCAGATATTCATTTCTCCTTGCCTCTGCAAGGATGAGCATTAGCCCTAGAGTAACACAACCAGGGTCACACCTGTCTGTTAGGTATATGGATGGAAGGGTGATCGACATGTAGATGAGTGGGTATGAACAAGTGAGGGGGTGGGTGTGTGGGTAGATGGAAGGATGGGCGGGTGGGTGAATAAACAGACAGGTAGGTGGGTGGGTGGGTGGAAGGGGGATCTGCACAGATTTTAAGTTAATGGACTAAATGCTCAGCCCAGATCACCCTGAGGCTTGAAGCCTGCTCAATATTTGCATAAATCAGGATGCCTCAGAACAAGACAGAAGCAACTTTTCTACAAGGCAAGCTGACTCAGTGAGGAAAATTAGGATAAAACAGGGAATTGTTTCTGTTAACCTTAAAAATAAAAGTCTAGCAAGTTTACTAGCAAAAATGGATTTATTCAGTGGAGAATTGCAATTCAGGACATGTAAGCTACAGCAAAGCCATAGGCCTGTCCAAAGGAGAGGATGGCTCTTTAAGAGAGGAAAGGGCCAAATTGGGAAACCTGTTCTCAGCAAACAGTCCATTGGAGGAAACTGAGAGTTCTACATTTTGTGGCTTCTAATTGGTTCAGTTCTGACAGTGTTTCATTGGCTGGGCTGTTGCTGGGTTGGGGTGAGGAAACAGAAACTTCCCTTCCTCCCACTGAGTAGTAAAGCAGGCTTTACTACTTCCTGAAACCTGCAATTGATGAGTGGTAGGGTGTGACTGCAGGCTCGGGTTTACAACTGCTGTCCCAGGATAAGTATGACCTCTTCATTCTCCAAAGTTGCACTTCCTAATCACACAGTGAGCTGGAGTTAGGTAGCCTGTGTTTAAGCAATATGGAGAAAAAAACTGAAAGCTACCATAGACTTTCTGACCAGGTTCTCCTGTGTTTCCAAAAATGACACCCCACACACATACATCTACTTCCCCTTTTCAAGTTTATACAAGATTTAGAATTGCCAGCTCCTTTAAAAACCAGAAGAAGATTAATACACTTCTGAAAATGCAGAGGGGGTGTAAGTCTCAGGAGATGAAATCCCGGGGCAAAATACCTCTAAAAACTGAAATCAGTCAAAGGGAGAAATAAAGTTTAAAATACATTTATTGCTTACAAAACTGCAGTTCGGCCCATCTCTCTCTCCTGCTCCAGAAGCTGCAAAACCGGCCCTCCCCCTCACTTCTCAGGTGCAGCTAAGCCTTCCCTTGCCCAGGTAATTACCCATTGATATGGAGATGAACTTCTCTCCACCCCTGAGGAATGATGCAAATGCACTGAAGCTATACTTCTTTCCATCTCTGAATGCCTATTGGTATGCAGATGTACACTGCTAGTGAACACTTTGGTGGAGGGAGGAAAGTGGAGGTATAAAGGCTCAGAGCAGCTTTTCAGAGGGCAGTCTGGTGTGGCAATGAGGGCAGTAACTTT